TGCAGTTTTTGGCCAGGGCCAGGTTTGAACCCACCACCTCTGGCATATGGGGCTGGCACTCTACTCCTTGAGCCACAGGTTTCACCCAGGGTTCATCTCCTTCTAACCAGGCATTTCCACGTGCACAGAGGGCTCCCTGCCCTCAGAGGGCCAGGCCACATGTGGCTTATAATTGGAGAACCAAAAGGGAACTGCTCCCCCTATTCAGTACATGCTGTCCAAGTCTTCCTGTGTGACAAGTATGAGGCCAGGCAGTGGGGCCACATCACTGTCCAAGGAGCGAAAGACCCCAGCCTGTAGAGCTCACACTGCAGATGATACAGATAACAAATACAAAAGCAATCACAGACAGTGACATGTCTGGAAAAGACGAAAACAGCACACTAACACAGACAAGGGACATCTGCTTTATAGTTAGGAAAAGGCTCACTCAGGAAGCGACTCTATCCTGACACCGGAAGATTAAGGAGAACTTGGGGAAAGACTGCGGCAGGCAGGAAAGACCCTGCCGTGGGGTAGAAGAGGCTCATAGGTCCTGCAGCAGGGAAGAAAGGAGCCATCTGGGCAGCCCTGGCCTCCGAGCTTATTCTCAGTGTGGCATGAAAGGATTTATCTCTTATATTCCAGAAAGATCTCTTTAGCTCTGTACGCAGAGGTAGACTGATGGGGACCAGAGGTGGAAAGATTGGAAGAGAGCACAGTGGCCTGGACTTGGTGAGAATCATTGCTGGAAGGAAACTGAATCTAAAGTGAGAGAAATCTACGAAAGCTTCAGGCTTTTAAAACAGGTCTAATCTCCCCAGAAAAAAAGAAAAACAAAACCTGATCTTGAATATTTAAAGTACTGTACATATTATTGCTAGTGATCTTTTACAAATCATGGAAAAGTTAGAAAACAGTCAGAACCAAGAATCAAGGAGGTATCCCCATTAAAAAAAAAAAAACAGTCTGCTCCTGACCCCTGGCAGGTTCTAGAAAAGCCAATTAAACAGATCTCAACAGTGGTGCTCAGATGACGGCAGGATAAATTCTGCCTATGAAGTGGGTGAGGAAGGGTGAAGCCCGTTGACAGAGGGCAGCAGTTCTGGAATCAGATCTGAATTTGAGACCCAATTTGGCTACTTCCTGCTACAAAACTTCAGAGAATCTCAGGTCCTCAGAAAATAAAAGTAGCCCACCAATCCAGGAATAGATTAACAAGCTGTGATATACATCTACCATGGAATACTATTCAGCCACAAAAATGATGGTGACTTTACATCTTTTGTATTAACCTGGATGGAGCTGAAACTCATTCTTCTTAGAATCACAAAAATGGAGAAGAATCCAATGTGCTCAATTCTGATTGAGGACAACTGATGCTAGTACATGGTGAGGGGTGGGGCAATGGAGGAACAGAGAGAGGGAAGATGGGGGGGGGGTAACGGTGTGTGACACACCTCTTGGGGGTAGGACACAAATATAACACGGACTTTACCTAACAAATGCAAGCAGTGTAACCTGATTCTTTGTACCCTCAATGAATCCCCAACAATTAAAATAAAATAAAATAAAAGTAATCATACCTTCTCATTGGGTTATTGAAAGAATGGAATAAAATAACACACAGTGTCTGACAGAGCTTTATTAAGTTCTAGTTGTTTGCTGTTTTGGCTAATGACTACTTTATTCATTCAATAAATAACTACTGAGCACCATCTTATGTGGTAGGCATATTCTAGCTGAGAATGGAAGTCCCTGTTTTCTGGGCTTACACTCAAGTTGAGAAAGACTTACAAATGAAGAAATATATAAATGACCCTCAAACAACAAAGGTTTGAACTATGCAGGTCCATTTAGACCTGGATTTTTTTTCTGCCTGTGCTACCCTAAACCACTAAGACCAATCCTTCCTCTTCCTCAACCTACTCAACATGAGGATGCCAAGGATATTCATCCTTCACCCTACATCCTTTACCATGATCTGCTTCCATTAATGAATGATAAAATACTTTGTCTTCCTTAGAATTTTCTTTTTTTTTGAGACAGAGTCTCACTCTGTCAACCTGGGTAGAGTGCTGTGATGTCATAGCTCACAGCAACCTCAAACTCTTGGGCTCAAGAGATCCTCTGACCTCAGCCTCCCAAGTAGCTGGGACTACAGGTGCCCACCACAACATCTGGCTAATTTTTCTATTTTTAGTAGAGACAGGGTCTCATTTTGCTCAGGCTAGCCTTAGATGCCTGAGTTCAGGTGATCTACCTGCCTCAGACTCCCAGAGTGCGGGCATGAGACGCCATACCTGGCCCCTTATGATTTTCTTAATAAGATTTTCTTCTCTCTAGCTTAGTTTACTGTAAGAGTACAGTATATAATACATATAACATACAACATATGTGTTAATTATTTATATTATCAGTAAGGCTGCTGATAAACAGCAGCCTATTAGTAGGGGGAATCAAAAGTTACATGAATTTTCAAGTGCTCAGGTCAGTGCCCCCAACTCCCTCATTGTTCAAGAGTCAGCTGTAAAATATGTTGTTAGACACTGATATGCTTTAAGAGAAAAACCAACGTAAAAGAAGATGCCCAGCTGCCTCTTTAAGACACCAGAACAGTGGTCCAAGGAATGCGGACAACTAACACACCCTGACACAGACAAGGCCTCTGATGGTCATGGCATAAAACCTATTTGCCTTGGCCAAGCTACTCTTGAGTCTCACTTTCTTATTTCCTGGCAGGGACAAAAATGACATACCTGTACTGTAGGATTATTGCAAAGATGAACTATGAAGCTGGAAGTGAAAGCATTTTATGAGATCCTAAACAAACATAAATTATTTACATTATAAAAACTCCCTCTAGCTTGAGCAACATAGTGCGATCCCATCTCTACAAAAAATAGAAAAATTAGCCAGTGTGGTGGCATGTGCCTGTAGTCCCAGCTACTCAGGAGGCTGAGGCAGGAGGATCACTTGTGCCCAGGAGTTTGAGGCTGCAGTGAGGTTATAGATGATGTCACTGCACTCTAGCCCAGGGTAACAGAGTAAGATCTTGCCTTAAAAACAAAAACAAATCTATTTTCTCCAAGTGCTATTTCTCTCATTTAAAAATAAAAATTAAATATCCTCCTCAAACTTCTCAGTAGAAGCATGCCTCCTTCTCTGAATTCCCATTTTTTTTTAAACTATACCCTAATATGTCACTTTTTGCTGAATTAATTATATATACCCAGAACATAAGCTTCAGAAGACAGGATTTATTTTGATTAATCTTGTCAACTTTTGGTTCCAAGCAGGTGCCCAAGAAGGTATATGCTGCATGAAAGCTTCAACTGGTGAACAAAAAGGACTCTCACGTGACAGAAAATGAAATCAATTATTTTGCTCTAAAATCCAGGAAAAAAACTAACAGATGAAGGTCTATTTTGCCTCTACATAAGAAATGGCTTTCTAATTAAAGTCTTCTAACATTGGCTAGGGCTGCTTTGCAAAATCTAATCTTGAGTAGGTATGACTGTCCTGGAAGAAGGTTGGGCCAACACAGCCTGTTGAGCTGTGAGCTCTCAGTACCCTAGGCCCCACATAGACATCACCTTCATTATTCCCACATAGCCTGGCTAGTAGGCATTCATAGCCCCTTTCTACTGCAAACTGAAGACTCCAATTTAACATGGCCAGATTCGGCTAGCAGGTGACAAGCTCAAACTCTGAGGTCTTATTCTTCCACAGTGCACTGTGTCCTATTGAAACACTGATGAAACAGTGAAGGTTAGCAAAATGGGTGCAGAAAGGATGGCAGGGGAGAGTTAGAGAATGTGCCAATAAGAAGACTGTTTCTTAAAGTATTATACTACATAGGTACTTTTAATGGGATAATCTGCCCAATAGAAACTTACGAGGTCTGATAATTAAGTTCGCAAATTCATCCTAGCAAAAGTGCTACATACCTCATTGCTGGATATCACTGTAGTCACCTTTGAAGTATTCCTCTTAGGAAGCTATGCTCTGACGTCAGTACCTAGTCTACCTTTCAAAGCAATTTTGGAACTCTTTTTCTGGAATGGCCACCAGAGTAGTCAATGTACGAGGACTGACAATTTTTTTTTTTTTTTTGAGACAGAGCCTCAAGCTGTCCCCCTGGGTAGAGTGCCGTGGCATTACAGCTCACAACAACCTCCAACTCCTGGGCTCAAGCGAGTCTCTTGCCTCCGCCTCCCAAGTAGCTGGGACCACAGGCGCCCGCCACAACGCCCAGCTATTTTTTGGTTGCAGCTGTCACTGTTGTTTAGCAGGCCCGGGCTGGGGATTCGAACCCGCCACCTTAGGTGTACATGGCTGGCGCCTTAGCCGGTTGAGCTATAGGAGCCGAGCCGAGGACTGACAATTAAGTTCTCAACTTTATCCTAGAAAAAGTGCTTGTACTGCTAAGATGAATTTCCATGAAGGTAAAAGAAATGGTACATCTCAAGTGGGCTGCAAGCCTTAAGGACTTAATATGAAGCAAAAAATATTCAAAACAGAGTGTACAGGTAAAATCGATCCTAGGTAGAGGGAATATGCAATGCAAATGCAGAAATCTACCTAACCTTCCTCTGCAAATATCCCAAACAAATATCAGCAGCCAAGACTCACTAACATTCAGGCTCTTAAATGCAAATAATCAGGAAGACTGAACCTGAGCTTGTGTCTAATCAATGGCCCCTTATAAACTAATGACAACAGAATACGCTGTGCCCTTGCTTCCTATCTGCAAAGATCCTTTAACCCTACCAACTCTATTAGGGCAATCACTTCACAATCTCACTATAAATTCACTCAAGTCTACCTAAAGATAAACTCAATCCACTATTACACTGGGTATTAAAATGCAGCAGTGGTGAAAAGTCTCAACTGTGCTGCACATCAGGCTGCTCAGAAGTCCCAGTCCCCCCAAAATTAAAAGTTATATACACATATTAATAATAATTGATGTCCTAGAGGCTCCTTTATGCCTCTTCTTCCTTTTTATATGTTTTTTTTTTAATATGGAATGCTTCACAAATTTGCATGTCATCCTTGAGCAGGGGCCATGCTAATCTTCTATCGTTCCAATTTTAGTATATGTGCTACCAAAGCGAGCACTCTTTTGTACTTTTATCACCACTCTTTTCTTTCTTGAGAGATGAAGGATACAAAGGGTGACCAAGGGATGGTTGCAGCCTAAACCATTAGATCATGAGAAGTTACAAACAACACAGTTCTGCAGGGATGCCAGAGTGTGCGTACACCAGTATCAACCAACCTGAGTAACTATAATGTGTCTATTAACTTGGAAGAGGGTTCTCCATAAGGGCATTTATCCAGGGTCACCTCAAAAATATTCCCAGTTCCCTGTTCTATCACACACAATGAAAATTTTTAAGAAAACAAAAGGCATAGTCTGAAAACTCATCCCAGAGTGAAGGAAATCTACTCAGCAAATAAAGACCTCAGGTTTTGTTGTTGTTGTTGTTGTTGTTGTTGTTTAAGCAGGCTTAAAGAAATAATTTTTTGAAGCTTCTTTTGTTTTTTAAACTTCTGTGGATTTTCTAAAAGTTGTATTGATCAGACTTCTGGGAAAGGCCATGACAAGCAAAGCTGGGGCTAGAGCAGGAAAAAGAAGGAATCATAAAAGAGGATGGAGACAGGAAAGCAATGAAGGAAAACCACTCTCTAAAAGGTTTCTGTCTTGACAGGGCCACTCAGTGGCTTTGGTGAGCTTTCTTGCCCCTAAGCCTGTTTCCCTGCCAGAAACATGGAGATGATTTCCAGGTCTGGGGTAACAGTGGGGACTAGAGGAGCCTCTGTCAAGGCCCTCAGGCAACCAGCATACAGAGGCTCTCAGTGAACGCCATCTCAGGAGCCAGGTGCTCTCCTTCTGATCTCTGCTTTGCCTTATTGGTACATAAAATATTAAACTTACTGCAGCCTGGACCTAGTATTAGAGGTTTCTTCTGAATCAAATTTTATTAACTCCACCTCAGATTCTTTTGGGAAGGGGATCTTCTGGACCCCTCCTCACCTTAAGAATAAGAGTGAAGAAAAGTCTTACAGGGCTGGGCACAACAGCAGGCATTGCCATAAATGATCATTTTCTTTCTGTCTTTGGTCAGGCTACCATCCCTAAGTCCTATCACTACAGATTCAATGTAGGTGTTTGCTCCTTTAAGTCTGTTTGCCATATCCATGGGGGAGCTCTGATTACCACAAAGGTCACAGGTAAGGCAAGAGACTGGGGTCAACAGATGTGCATGGCTATGCTAGAGGTCAGTTCCTAAGCTGATTAGCAAAGTCAGAAATTTTCCGAAAGGGGCCAAGGACTGCCCCTTGTGAGGAGATGAGAAAGAAAAGGAGGTCATGGTTCAGCAGACTCCAAAAAGAGTCAGCAGGGCAGGGCAGGGCAGGGCAGGGAAGGGAGAGGAGTGTCACCTGCCCTTAGGCAGGCTGCAGAGGCCAGGTTCTGAGTTGAGAAACTCACATGTGTCTCATGTGGGCACACCACTCAGTGACCTCCACAGTGCCTCGCCCAGTCCCCAAGACAAGGGGCACACACCACAAACAGGATGCCAGGTACAGCCTCCCCGCTACAACTACAAACACAAAGAAAAGGTGTTTCATTTCTTGAGTTCCCCCCAAAGCCACTGAATCTACAGCTGGAAAAAAAAAAAAACAGAAAAAATAAAGAACACTAAATTCCCAGAGGGTAAAATCTCTATCTATGTGAACTGCTATAATGTTACACAAAAGAAGTAAATATAGTTAAAAGCACAGATTAGATCTTTTAAAATGACCTATCCATAACCTTTATTTATAAAAATAATCAAAATTAGATGTATGCTTACAATGAGTAATTTACAAAACTGGAAACCTTAAATAATGCACAATAAGGACAATACTCATATATTTAATACAGATTAATATCAAGGTCAGCTATCAGGAACAAGCAAGGGCACAGGCACTGAGACTCTAACAAAAATTATAAAGGCACTAGAAACTCTCTAGTTGATTTTCTACATTCTATTTTTTTCACATTTTTCATATCATTAAAAGCCAAATAGGTTTCATAGATAACTATGAAAAAAAAAAAAAAATAAAGCACTACCAGCTTTCTCATAGCTTGGGGGAGAAAAGCAAATAGCCTTATCACTTCCTCTAAGGATGAGTATATTCCATCTCTGGTACACAGTGAAACTAAAGAGTTGGACAGGAGGGGTAATCCTTCAAGAAGCCAAAAGAAACCAATAGGCTCACTGGCTGGCCCTGGCAAGCACATGACCCTCCCAGACAGTAGGGCCACACCCAACTCTGTTCTATAAAAATAACAGCCCAAGAGAGGAGATTTTAAGGAAGATTGATTGCTCTGCCCTTAAAACTAGACTATTTCTTTATCCAAAAATTAAGACCAGAAACAACCTTAAAAACTGAGACTGGGCTTGGTGAGCCTATGTGGTTAGAAGCCTAGGCTCTGGGTCTAACAAGCCTGCTCTGAAGCCAGCTCTAGGACACAATGTCATAAGCCTCTGGCAGACTGCTGAACATCTCCCATTCCTCCTTTGCAGGTAACTGTAAGGATCACAGCCCTCAGAAGAGAGCCAGACACGTACCAGGGAGGGTCACTCTTAACTGAGTTCATCATCCTCATTACAGTGGTGATGGCAGTGAGAGCATCTTCTGCAGCTCTGAGCTGAGCTGCAGGTCTATTCCCACACTGTGCTTTCTGTTTGCAGCCACAGGTTTCCTATAGTGTACAAATGAGCCTCTCACAGAAGAGTCCCATGGGCACACAGTGTCGAGAACACCATTTACCTAAGTGGAAAGGTCCTCTGGACAATTCAGATGAACAACTCAACAGCATTCTTTCCCTTCTATGTCCTATCATCTCTACCCAGTTCCCATGGCCACAGAATGCAAGCACTAGGCCAAAATTCATCGCTCATTCATCTCAACATCTCCAGCCTATTACAAAGGCTGCCTCATACCTTAACCATCATCTTTGACTCTGTTCCTTCCCAACTTCAGTAGGAGATACCATGAGGTTGGCTGAGAACAAAAACGTCACATATGGAACACATTTGCTTCCAGGGAAAAATTTAAGTGGGAATGAGGTCAAGAGAATATTTAACATCAAGGAAGCAGTGTCCACGGTCTTTTAACAATGAGGCCAAGTAAACTTTAGAACTAAACTGTTGTGCTGTAAATCAATTAATTTTAACAAATTTTTATTAAGTACCTAGACTCATTTAGCTTTATGGTTAATACTGCAAAAGACACAAACATTCAAATCAGGTATCATTATATAAAGAGCCATTTCAAACAATTTTTATACAAATAAATAATATGGTAATGGATTAGTTAATTCATCAAACAAAATAAATATCCATGAGTCCATACTGATATGAATAGCTAAATGAATAAATAAATAAGGACAGTTCTTCCTTATAGTAAAATTCCAACTTGGCAAATACTTTGGTAATAACTACTGCAGACAAACATTGGGATGGATAGAAAAATTAGTAGATGAAAGCACAATGAGAAACTGGACATATGCACGATCTCGAAGTATCTACCAAATATTCATGAATTGTAAGGGAAAAATAGTAACTTCTAGTGGGAAAACCAGTAGTAAGATATATTGATTGATGTATCCCCTGAGAAGGACACATCATTTCTGATGTGCCTTGCCAAAAATGTTATCATCTCAGTATAATCATGAGAAAGCATCAGACAGATACAAACTGAGTAACTTCTACAAAGTAAATGGCCAATAATACTCTTCAAAAGTGTCAGGGTCCCAAAAGACGAAGAGGACCTGAGAACTGTCCCAAGTTGAGGTGGATGAGGAGATATGAAAACTAAATGCAATGTAGGATTCTAGAAAGAAAAAAGCATATCAGTGGAACAACTGGTTAAACTCAAATAAGATCTGCAGATAGTTAATAGTATCATACCAAGTTAACTTCCTGGTTTAGATCACTGCACTGAGATTGTATAAGGCTAGCCTTAGGCAAAGCTGGGTAACGTGTACATGGGAGTTCTGTGCACCATTTTGGCAATTTTTTAATAAGTCTAAAATTATTTCAAAATTAAAAGTTAAAAAAACTTTGTATCCCCAGAGATACTGGTCCCTATCTCCAGGTACGATACCTCATAAGAGGTGCTCAGTAAATATTACTTGAATTGATTAAGTAATTATTAAGAGGATACAATGGGTTAGACACCAAAAAGATAGCCAAGTAACTATAGGAAGATCTAAGGTCAGGAGGAGCTGGCTGGCTTGTTTAGGATGGAAGACTCAACCAGATTTCTGAGAAGGAACCAACAGTGGGAGAAGCTGAAGAAGGGCTACCCTTATGTCACCAACTCAGAGTGACAATTTGGAACACAACCTGTACATGAACTGGGAAGCTCTTTACACAACCTCTGCCTCTAGAGGAGACAAAGTTATATAAATGCACATGCATATTTTCCCTTATAGTGTTGCCAGAGTACACCTATCTATAAAGAGGTATACATACTAAGTATATCTTTCCATGAGTTTCAGGACATTGGGATCTTTAAAGTAAGCTGATGCCCAGGGGGTTTTCTCTAACTTGGTGCTCATTCCTGGAGGCCTTATGTATTATCAGATTTCTATATGTAGATGAGAGCGTTACAAAAACATAAGCTAAATACATCTCTGGAAACTCACATCTTGTGCTGTTCTTGTGTGGCTCTGTCAGAAACAAGTAGAACAGTGGGAAATGGGGGAAGCAACTGTTTGTATTTAGCCACAACTGCCACAGGATGCCAAGAACCAAAAGTGACATCTTCCTCTGCCTCTTGGCGGGCCCTATTTTCGGAGACAGGCTGTAGCAACAGTGAGTTGTGAATACGGCTGCTCGTCTCTCCTGCCACTCCAGCCCTGGCTAGGCAGAAGGAGCTGCCTATTCAAGGAAGACAGCCAATCTAAAATTGCCTTCCTCCATCCTGAAGCATAAGGCAGGAAAAGAGGGGGCCTGCTGCAATGGGTGCCTGCCTTGAAATAAAATTCATGACGGTTAACACACAAATGAGTTTCTCCATCTCCATACCTTTCCCTGTACCTTAAAAATTGTTGGATCAAC